GGATTTGCAGTTCAAGGGTTGAGGAAATTACCTAAAAGCTGGTTGTAACGTTATATAATTGGCTATTGGCTTAGCCGCAAAATTCAGATCCAGACTTTGAATACACCAAAGTTCAGGGATGTTATGTAATGTAGAAGTCTGATATCCTGTTTGTTTCAAACAACTTTTTTAATTTAAAATGTATTTTTGCAAAGGTGGTATATTTAAATATGTAACTTAATTTTAGATACTTGGTTCATCCAATGCAATCTATTTTCTGTTTTGTTCTCTCTACAGGGCAAGGCATTTGGACAGATGTTACTGGATTTCCAGATAAAAAATGTTCCAGATTTAAAGTCCTTAATAGAATAATGATTTTTGGGTTCATCTGTTTTTAAAAGTCTGAATACAAACAAACATGCAAAACAAAAACTAGCTTCTTGAGTCAAATTCAAGAAACTGCAAATTAAAGAGAGACAATTCTCTCTCTCAGGCTTAACTGTAAGGCACAGAAAAGTGAATATTTTGAGTATTACCAGACAAGTAGCTTTGTCTGTGACTAATAGCATTTCCGGTCTGGTTAGTACATTGGATAAAGAGTTAATTTATTTCCTGTAAAATATAATAAAGCAATAAAATAAAAATAAAAATTTTACAGTGAGATAACCAGACAACCACACTCCCAAAATGAAAACTACCTTTTGATCCAGTCCTCCTCTCCATCCTTCTTTAGAACTCTTAATAATTAAGAGGAATAATATTGTTGAACTCTTAACTGCTCAAGTCCACCACCTTCAGTCTGCACTGTGATCTTGCACAGTATATCCCTTATTTATACAGAACAGTCAGATAACTTGGTGCTCGTCTATTGAAAAAATCACCATTTACCAACAACTGTCAAACTGTGGTAGCTGAGGTCAGTTTTTCCCTCTAATTAGGACAGTATATAGCTGCAGTAACTCAAGCACCACTGTGTGGTGACTGATGGTGAATATTGACTTTGAATGGTGACCACTATACTTCAGGGTATTCTGCAGTCAGTGAGAGAAAGCTGAGTGTTTTCTATCCCCAACTTCTCTCATTGCCTATAACCCTTATTTGAACAGCACTGAAGTAATTACAAAATGGAGCTCTTGTCATGTGGATTATTTTGAAGAAGAAAAAATGCTAACAGCCAGATTTGATGCCCCACTCTCTCTTGTGTGGTGCTACAAAAGGGATGGAATCTGGACTTATCACCTCTGTTGGAGATTCCCCTAGGGAACAGGAGTTCCCAGCAGGTGCTGAATCAGTTTAGCTGTCCCTTGCACCACCCTTCTCCACAACCCTGGAGGGGGAGCATGTTGGGGGCAGAAAAGAGGCATGTCTGATATGCACTGTATTCCATCTATCCTCAGCTTCCCAAAAGTACCCTGCATCAGAGCTGGTGCCAAATGGTGAATTAGGGAGTTGTATCCAGCTCCCTGAAAAGAAACTCAGCCTAATAGAGATTCAGGCCTGATAATTCTCTGTATCTCCTACCACAGCAGAAAGATATGTATGTTTTGGGGTTTTTTAAATCTCTTAGTGGACAATGTTTAGATACACATTTCTGAATATAAAAGTATGTTCCTTTATTTTCAGAAGAATTTATTAACTGTTTAGTGCTGATAAAATTGAGACTTTAATAATAGTGGTTACAACTATGAATGATGTGTAGGTGCTTTATAAGCCTCATCAGAAATCTTTGGCAGTGCCTCTGAGCTCTAATCCATTCTATCACTGTTCTCCATTTGCTAGCCTATCTTTAGCAAGGATTGTAACTGAATTTTTCCAGTTTGCATTGTGGTTTTGTCCATTTGAGGACTATGTTGAGGACATCATGTGTGGAATCTTGACCCTATTAACGTTAATGACAAAACTCACATGGAATTTGATGGGGCCAGAATTTCACCCGTATTCTTTTCCCTTGTGACCTAAACAGAATGTAAGAAGAGAATATACTAATTACTGTGTCAACTAGTCATATATAGTATTATTTGTACATCATTAAGTCTGGTTGTAAAGGCAAAAATGGGAAAACCATGGCTTTGTCACAGAAAAATATGGAAAATTCAGACCATTGGGGGGATGAGGGTTAAAAAAGGTTGGGGGGAGGGGAGTTGCACAATATTTAAATTGTTTACATTTCTTTTCCATTAGAAAAGTGTTAAACAGCTGTCATCAATAGTCTGAAACCATATTAAGACAGGAAAACAGAAAAACCCACCAAATAGTCAAATTTGTTAATAACAATAATTAATGGAAGAAAGTCTTGCTCAGTAGCAGACAGACTAAGATGAAAAAGGACCATGGGCTAGACCCTCAACTGGTATAAGTAGTGCAACTCAGTAAAGTTTAATAGTTATGCTTATTTACACCATCTGGGGATCTGGCCCCATGATGTTATTATAATACCCTAAAAATGACATTTTTGGTCATGGAAATCATGGCTATGTCAAACATATACAGCCTTATCACTATGCTGTTTAAGTGATTTTGTATTTCTATATGCAACTACTTTGATATTGAAAGTAAACGGGTAAAAAAACTAGATATTTCAGTAATTTAAATAGTTTATTTTAGTATATTTTCCAATGGCAACTTAATTTAGAAAGGTTTTTAATATTAATTGTTTTGGGTTTTTTTTAACGTTTTCTGAGTTTGCATGTTGGTTCAGTTCCCACTTTAGATTGTATCTCACCCAGTTCTGTACCAAATTAAACATTCACTGTTGGTTAATATGAAAATTGAACGACTAAACAATGAACACTTTAGACCCACTGGTAGTGGTGGACTGTTGGCTGGGAGGTGCAGACCATTCACAACTGTACAACAGAGGCACAGTTTGTTCAAGAATTAAACCATGCAGTGTTCATGTTGATGGGGTAGGGAATGGAAAGGGGTTTCTCTGTCTCTGTTGGAGTTCATACCCCTCCAGACACCACTAAACCATCCCCAATAGGGATAACTTTGATCTATGGTTGGGTTTTGTTTATTTGTTTGCTTTTGCAACACACTAGATTGCACCAAGTGGCATTTATTTTCATAATATTTCCTTGGGGAATGTGTCAAAATCCCTTAGACATAGATGTTATTCCTTGGCCCTAACACCATAGTTGTGCAATAGTTAGTTTAATTCATGAATTTGTACCTATCTTAACAATCCAGAACTGACCTGAAAAGCTATATTAAAATTGCATTTATTTCTTCATCTAGAATGAAGACTGAATAATTACAAACAGAATTTGCAAATGACCTCCAGTACTTGGAATAATATTTCTCACTTATTAGAGTGACTCTCAGAGCAGTCTTCTTGTATATTTCCATAGCTTGGTTACTCTGAAGGATGGGATAAACCAGCATAATTAGGGGTTTACCATCATTCTAAAGTACCAAGGAATATTCAACCAACAAGATCACTAAATTCTCTGTATTCTGAACTGCTCCTCAGTCTTTGAGGGTTTGGAAAGTGCAGGTCAGGCCTATTTCTGATTCTAACCCCTATATTAGGACAAACGTTATTTGTGCAATGGATTATCCAACAGACCATTTCATTGTCACCATGGGAAAGAGAAGGCTTCACTTTTTATTTTAATTTTTAATTACATTTCTTCAATTTGAATCCTTATTGAACAGTTTCAAGACATCACATTTTTTCAAACTTGATGGTTGCATGATGGTATTGATAATTGCCCTTGCTGTCTATGAGAGTGGCATTCTCAGGTTAGACAAACTAGAGCTGTTCAGCTTTGCGTTGGGTTCTTATGCAGCCATCTGTAACATGAAAATAAGTGTGGGCCCATAAACGGCCAACCTATCCTACCTGAGGCCTTATTTGAGAGTGGTTGCACCAGTTTAACTAAAAGTGTGATGTTAAATCAATTTAGTGTAAATCAGTGGAAATTCCTGTGTGCGTACTCTTGTTTTGAGAAGCTTATTTCAGTGTAGCGCAACCCAATTTCTGATTTAAACTGATCAAAACAAGTGTGTTTGCTCTCGTTTAGTTTAAATATATGTTGTTAAATTGGTGCAACTTTCTGATGTAGACAAAGCCTTACTTTTCCAACTCTCTTTCTTCCTGTCTTTTGCTGGCCATGAGGGCAAGGAAACAGGGATTAATATGAAACTCCATGGAAATTTGTTTGGCTCTAGGCAGGAGGCCTTGTAGGCACCCTCCTAGTGTCGGGGAGTTCATATATAATAGATGTGAGTCCATGCCACAAAGGTGGGAATTGTTCACACCTACTGTAGCTCAAAATCTACAGTGCTGTAGTTCAAACACGAATTAATTCAGGGAAGTTCTGTGGCCTGTGTTATACAGGAGCAGAGACTAGTTGATCACAGTGGTTCCTTGTGTCATCATAATCTATGAACCCATCTCCAAAACACAGTAATTTAAATTAAAAATTGTAAATTATCACTTGCCTCTGAGCTTTCTATTCTTACTGTTTCTTATGACAGCTCTAATTCTCAAAATAAAATATATCCTAAAATGTTGCACGGTCCCTAACATTCAAAACAGATGGTACAATTTATCATATTTAAAACCAATATTTTGAGATAGTTTTGCCATTTTTGTGACAATTTAATCTGCCCATTAAACAACGCACAGAATAATTATGTACTGCAATGACCATCCAAAACAGGATGGAAAAGTAGTGTGTTCTAGAGTTGGACTAGAGGTAAAGTGCCTTTTTAAATGTTAATTATAATTCAATAAATTAAACAAATATGTTTTTTCTTCACTAAAGTATTTTCTTTCTGGAGAAATGTGTATTTCCAAGAGGTTAGTTTCTTATGTTTATGTTTAACAGAAACCATGGGCAACTTCAAATAATAGATATAAACACACCTTGTTTTGTTTTACTAAAAAATAGAATAGAAAGGGGAAGTGTTGAAGTATATATTTTATGTCTTGTTTTGCTCCCCTATTGGTTGAAAGGGATTAGGCGTGCAGGAGCCAGAGTTAGAAAAAGCCTAATATAGGTGTTCAACCAGAGATTTCCATGCAGGACTTGAAAGGTTTTACTGCTTTTCAAAATACGTGTAATCGTCTATTTACTAACAAAGAAAAATTTTATCAGTATACAAGTTACTAAGTTTAAATGTATATTTTTGTAATAATAAGCAGTTACATTGCACCTTCTATCCAAAGATCTGAAACTTTATGAGCATTAATAAATGAAATCTCTCAGCAGCCTTGCCTTGAGGCAGTTATCTGATTGTATCTCCATCGCTGCCCTGGGGCCATGTGTCTGGGCTGGGAGCAGTAATGCTACATTTCATTGATTTCTTGTTCATCTGATGCCTTCCAGTGGCTTTCCAGCCCTCGGTATAAGCCAGCTGTCAGGAAAGGTGCTGCTTTTTCATGCTTCAGGTGCTTCACTGCTCTGTAGGTGTGGGGGTTACTCAGTGCAGTAATGCCACAGTCTTCACTTTGTTCCTTTGAAACTCAGGAGCATAAAGGCTTTGAGCCTCCTCTCCCTGTGGAGACCACCCCACTTCTCTTCTTGGGTTTCACCTTGGGTTTCCGTCCCGGATTTACTTGTAATGGACTCTGACAATTTGAGGATTAAAACTAAATGGCCTTTAACAAGCAAACAAAGGCTGTCTCTGACTAAACAGTGAGATGATCCAGTGTGAAAACATTAGTATTAACCAAGGAGTTACCGCTCCCTCTGCATTCAACCTAACGCTACTTCTGAGGGGGAGACCCTAGGGGCCCCGGAGGCCTCCCCTTGTTTGCTGAGCACCTCAAGTTAATTGGGAAAAAACCTGCAGGAATTCCTGCCAGCGGTGTCCAGGTGTTACTCTGATGTGACAGAGGCAGGAGAATCAGCCCTATGGGGTGGGGGAAGATGCAGCCAAGGCATTGGGGGACTGTGGGGTGTAAGTGGGGTTCTAGGGAGCCGCCTCCTTATTTAGTATAAATGGAGCCATTTCTGCTGTGATCCTGCGTGGGGAAACTCCGTGTCTGCTCCAGACACCGGTGAAATCAGTGGGCAGCGGGAGGATTTGCTGTATTTCCCCTTTCTCTTCAATCCAGTCCTCCTTTGGTCATGGGGATGCTGCAAATCAGGGTTGTCTCCCCAGAGCACCTATAGGGTGCCGAGCGCCCTCCAATCCCCTTGGACCTGAGCCTAACGTTGGGGGCCATCAGCCCTTTGCAGAATCTGACCCAAGATGCCTCGTCTTCAGGTGCACTGGCATTGGGAGAGCGTCTTCAGCCGCTAGGAAATGGTGCAGGAGGGTGAGGGTGTGTAGTGTGAAGTGCAGTAAGTGGGGGAAGCTGAACCCGAAGAAGAGATGAAGGAGGCGGCGCAGGTGTATAGGGGCAGCTGGCCTGGGCTAAAATTTGGCTCTTGCTCTAAACTCCGAATAAGGATTTAAGAAGCGCTGGGGCCAGTCCTGCAATGCGCCGAGCACCTTCTCTGACTTCAGTGGGAGACACGGGTCTTCAGCGCCTCAGGATTGGGTCGATCTTCTCTTTTCTGTGCAGAATCAAAGGCGAGCGGGAGGGATTTCTGGGACAAGGGATATTCGCATCTTCTCGGCAGCGATTCTGTTGGGATAAAATGATGGCAGGGTTCACGCTGCTTGTCTAGAAAGGAGAAGAAACCCGAGGGGATGGCAGTAGCGGACAAGTGAGCAAAAGAAAAGGGCCATGTTCGTCAGTTGTAATTGTGCATACCAATCTGAATAAGAAAAGGGCCCCTCTCCATTTTCTCTGTTTGAATCTTTACTGTACCCCAGCAAGGGAGCCTCCCTCGCCGCCTGCTCTAGGGATGCATTTAAGTGTAATCTGGTGATTTTGGCAGGCGTGTTTTATATTGTTCATTTTCTGTAACGTTCTTCATTCCTATTTCCCTCCTTATTTTCACTAAACCTGGGGATCCTTTATGCGGAGTAAACAATTTATTCTTTTCTGAAAATGCACTCCGAAACGTACCTATTGGTTTAGCTTTACCAACTGCGGTTGGCGATCGAACGGAGGGAAGCATATGTTTGAAACATAAACCTTTAAAAAACACACACAGCATAACTCTGCATCCTTGAAATCGATGCTTCTGCCGTTTGGCTGGCTGGCTGAAAGTTTGTCTGCAGTTTATCCGAGAAGTTCCCACAAACTTCTTCTCAGTGCAGTTGCACCTAGAAATAGATCAATCCCTTAAAACCACTTCGATTAAAGCTGGTTTTTGCAGCAATGTTGTTTAGGGGGATGAACCAGCCACGAACCAAACAAACAAGCAAACGCCCCCCGCAATTAAATAACGTGAACATCGGCTCGAGCTATTTTCTCTTGTATACGCGGCAGACTTTGGAGCTGATCCGCGACGTGCCTAAACCTGCATTATATAATAACTTGGCTGGGACTCCCAAAAGAAACTCCCTAAAGCCTGATTCTTTCCATCCCCCACCAGTCAGAGGTGCTGGGGCAAGGGCCAGCAGTGAATGGCTACGCAGGAGGTTACTGCTGGTTTGTCACTCGGTTTGCAGATTAGAGAGGTGAAAGTACTGTTCGTTTAGCACGGAAGCTGCTTGTTACTTCTGAGCAAGATCAGGCCAGTGGTTCAAGAGTAGGGAATGGCCCTTTAAAACAATAATAATTTCATGAAATCCACGTTTCGGTTCCAAGCCCATAGTTGTGAAGATGACCCCTTTGCTGAAATGTAGCCTCTTCCAAGGAGTGAAAAGGGGAGTAGTAGTCTTTAGGATAGGCACCACACTGCGTGCTCTGCAGAAGCTTCTCCAATTTCTTATTCTCCTTTCTGCTGCACCCGGCTGTGAGGTGTCATTTACCAAATCATAGAGAACCATCAGAAAAATATTGATCATCCAGGGCAAAAGCCCTGGGGAGGGGAAAGGAAAGACCAAAAAACGGACTAGTCCTCAAATGATCCCTTGTCTTGCTCTCTCCTACTCGTCCTCCAATATGCCCGCTCTAAGGCGGGTTTTATAGAGTGGTTTCTTTTGGGTTTCAAACACTTGACCTTAGGGTAGAGACTTTTGTGGTAAGTGATTAATTAGATTAATTATAAAAACGCTTCCAGAACGTTTGGGTTTCGGATCCATTCCGGAATTCCCGGTCTATGCTATGTCCCGTCCCCCCCGGCCACTGGTACAATGACTGAAAAGGGAAAATATTTATTTGCTCTAAGCCGGTCCTGCTTTGCCCACAAAAATGTGTCGAACCATTATACATACACAGTTCTTGCCCGCTTCTCAGCAAGTGGCCAAGGCACGCTAAATCAGTTTGTTTGCAGATGTTCAGGCAAACAAAACTTCAGGAAATTAGCTCATAAAATTTTCCCAGCCCTGCAATCTTCCTTAGAAAGGGGGACAGTGTGAAAAGCTGGCCCTGCCCCTCCTCCTTTTTCTTCCCTCCCGCTTTCTTGCCTCATGTGTAATTGGACGGAGTTTCTTTCTCCAGACGGAACTAAAAGGTTGAATCGGGAGTGTTTGTGACATGAACAAAAGTCAATAGCACTGGGTCTGGGGGACAGTAGGACTGCAGGGGCTGGGAGAAAGGCTGTGGAGAGCTTGGCCGACCTCCCTTCCTGGTCTCCAAGGCCCTGTCATTTTCCAGGTAAGATGAATGTCCTCCCATCAATCATCCCGCGCAGCCCCAGGGAAAGCCGGGAATTTGCTGGGCTACTGAAACTTATTAGCCTCAGACTGGGCGGCTTTGTTGCCCTGACAGAGCTGCTCTTTTGTGGGCTTTGTTCCGGGGATTTATACATTTACATAATGGATTAGCGGGTAACAAGCCGCAGAGGCATGGCTCGCCACGTTTCCTCCGCTCTCTTAGCCGACCGATTTTAGCACAAGTTAATTTGTAAATATGAGTTCCACTCCCCTCCTCGCTTCGCTACCTGTTGTCTTCCCAGATAAGCGGGCACTTATCGATCGATGTACATGCAAATAGTTTTGTAAAGGAATCAAGTGCACGATCACTTGTCATTGTCACTACAATTTCCTCTCCTTGTGCACTGCGCTGTGTAATAAACATTTATTGTGCCAGCTAATCCTTTGAACTTTGAGGAACTCAGTGCGAGTGGAAAGAGCTTTGTTTAGGAGGAGGAAACAAATTGGCATTGTCGTTCGTCACGAAGTATGACAAACAGGGGGAACTGTAATTTGTAATTTAGTGTGCTTCTATCCCGGCCAGTTAATCCTTTAGCGAATACATCTATCAGGGGACATTTTAACTCCAAGAAGAAGAACAGGAGTACTTGTGGCACCTTAGAGACTAACAAATTTATTAGAGCATAAGCTTTCGTGGACTACAGCCCACTTCTTCGGATGGATAACTCCAAGGAGGCTGTAGCCACTCACAGCATCAAAAATGAGTGCTAGTGTTTGAGGTCAGATATCTTGCTCACGTGCATATTTATAACTACATATAGTCCAAGCAGACAACTGCCCGTAGGAGCTCTTAGGCATTGTAATGTTGAATGCGGTGTTTGCTACAATGACGAACGGATGATCCTGGTATAGAATAGAATCCGGTACATTAAAATGCATTCGATAGCTGATGCTCGTTTTAAAGCGATTAAAAGGAATTGCAAAGAAAACAGAACACACGAATGCAAGTGGTAGTTGGAGAGATCCAAATGCAACGGGAGAAATCCTCGGGAAGTCTTACTGGCCTTTCTATTCTACAGGCCCAACTAGATGATAATGTTCTATTTTAATGCCGTGAAAACTTGAAAAAAAATTGAACGCGGGAGAAAACGCAACTTTTTATCTTGGAAGCAGTTTGCGTTACTTTGAAGTCCCCACTTACAGGCTGTAGCTGTACACAGTTTACACCCATAACGAAATCAATGGCACTTGTGTCATTCATAACTTCCCTCAACGGCCATTCAGTTTATTCCATCGTTTCCCTCTCTCAGCTTTGGTCACTGGGCAAGAAAAACCTGGGAGCGGAGTGGTAAATTGGTGCAAACGGACAAAATGTTCGCTTGCCCAGTTCCCTAGCCCCTTTCATCTCGAACATGCAATAGAGAAGCCAGTAGCTGCTCTGGGGAGGATCTCTACCTCCCAGAGGCTTTAACAGAGCAGCAGCATCAGGGCTGGCACAGGAGACTTTTTGTAGGCGCTGCTTCTGAATAAAGGTTTATTTCACTGCCGTTTGGAAGCCGCCCACTTCCCTCTCAACCAATCAGGGTTGTGCTTGCTTGTGGCCCCGCCACTCCCGCCCGCCAGGATAAAAAGGAAGGATGCAGGGGTGGGTGGCAGCATCCCGCAGCAGGAGGAAGGCCAGGAAAAGCCCCCAGGTCCGCAGCATGAAGAACCCCATGTACGAAGTGGCCTCCCTGCTGCTGGAGAAGCTGCTCCTCCTGGCCAACCTCAAGCTGTGCAGCGTGGGCCCCGGCGCGGCGAAGGAAGAGGAGAAACACGCCAACTACTACGACACCACCTACTTCAAGCGGGGCGACCTGCTGGAGGTGCACCGCACCCTCTTCGTCCACTTCGGCATCTACCTCGGGGACAACCGGGTGGCGCACCTGATGCCGGACATCCTGCCCGCCTTCACCGACGACCAGCGGCAGATCCAGCAGGTGGTGACCAACAAGAGGCTCATCCTGGGCGTCCTGGCCAGAATGGCCAGCATCCGAGTGGACGTGGTGGAGGACTTTGCCTACGGCGGCTCCATCCTGGTGAACCACATGGACGAGGCCTTCCCGAACAAGGCGCTGTGCGACGAGGAGGTGGCCCGCCGGGCGGAGAAGCTGGTGGGGGCCACGGCGTACAGCCTGCTGTGGAACAACTGCGAGCACTTCGTCACCTACTGCAGATACGGCTCCGCGGTCAGCTTCCAGACCGACAAGGTAAACCCCGCCCAGGGTCCCGGGGCCCCGCTCAGCCTGACGCCCTGCCTCGCTAGCAGGGTGCACCGGGGAGGGGACACACCCACCCAGGGTTGCCCTGCGGTGCTGGTCCTCTGCAAATCTCCGCTCTGTGTCTGGGGGTGGGGGGGAGCAAAGCAGAGCAGATCTATTCGCTTTGGTGGCGGCCCCTCTTACCTTCTGACGTCCCGTGGAAACCCTAAACGGTAGGATGAGCTACCTCCCCCGGGTCAGGCACACCAGCTCTAGAATAACCCGGCGAAGGCAGTGCCCCCTGGCCTCCCACGCGGTCCCACCCAGCACGTGAGCCAAACACCTGCCCAGCTGGAGTGAGCGAGGACGCAGAGTCTTGGAAGACTGGTGGGTGGGGGGACTGGAGAGGAAAACTGCCCTTGCAGGAGCCGCAGCGATCTTGCTGTAACTTTAGCCTGTCGCTCCCCCGGCCTCTTTCCCCCGCGCAAGAGCAGCATCAGTAGCTTAACGTGAGCCTTCTCGCGGGGGGGCTCTCTTCTCCTCCTCCCCCTGGTTCTTTGGCTGCTATTCCAAAAGCTGCTTGCAAAAGGAGTTGTCTGAAGCCATCATTTGCCTGAGGTTTTGAATTTTGTCTACATACTTCTAGTCCCTTGTCTAGTGTTTCCTCACACCCCGGAGCCTGAAAAATGGCAAGAGACAGTCTTAACACTTCAAATCTCCCACGAGGTCAAATGACCTGACATCCTGCAATGGACCATTAACGCTGAAAGGGATTTTGGTCCTTGACTGCTAATAGTTTGCTAGACTCAGCATGAAAGGGATCTTTCCACGCAGAGGGCCCAAAATGTGTAAATACAGGTAGAAGTTACAAACTCACCCCGCTGTAGATCATTTCCGCCTGCCCCCAAAGGGAGCCTCCCCGTTTCAAACCCAATTAGAATGCTTGGAAACGGGTTAAAACCCAAGGCTGTCTGGTTCCAAGCATTGTTATTGCTGCAAATCAAGCCCCCCACCACCTTAAATGCTAACTTAGTGGAAGAAACACAGACTCTTGTAATATATTTATAAGTAAAATATTTAATCTGTTTATTAGCAATGGAGCACTTTCCATCAGTGAAAGCTTTGCCAGGTTTTACAGAAGCAGAACAGATTTTAATTGGCATTACTGTTTAGCACCTCCAGAATAATAGAGTTGTTGTGTGTGGCTTGAATAGTCCAACAAACAGCTTGGTGAGAGGCTAGGCTGTGTAAAATCTCGATCGGACTCAATCTTGACAATTCTTAAAAAAACAACAACAACAAAAACTTGTTTTTTTTCCAAGTGTGCTCCCTGAGAATTAGGTCACTTGATGCTGAGGCCTGGTTTCCGTAAGTAAGCAATCTTTTGAGCAGTCTAGTCAATACTCTCTCTGGTTCGAAGTTACCATATACTGGCACTGCAGCCACTCTGCAAAACACTGTTTCACTGTCTCTCCCTTCCCCACCCAACGCCAAGCAGGATCCTGGATATTTTATTCAGCAGGAGATCAAACAGAATTAATGGCATTTTAAAGGATTGCAAAGACTGACTCCAGGCACATTTCAGTCTGAAACCTGTAGTATGTGAAGGGGAGCGGGGAGTATCTCTATGAAAGCGTAATTTTCCAGTAGATGCTAACAGTCAGTTCTCCAAATTACAATCAGTTACAGGTTTTGCAAGTCATTAAAACAATTTCCAAGCTGCTTAGAAATAACTTAACTGGCAGCTAAATTTAACCACTCCGCAGTGACTTTGATCTTCTAGAAAATAAAGCACGATTCATTAGACAACTAGTAATGAACTCTTAATATAGGCTTGGGGTCTCTAAGGACCCAGTTCTGCATTCACTGCAGTCAGTAGTAAAGCTCCTACTGACTTCAATGGGGCAGGGGCAGTTTCTAAGGGGAATACATCCCTTTTCACTCACCCAGGCATCCCTTTCTAGCCCACAGGAGTTGAATCGCTGGTACAGAGCAGTCTTTGAAGGTCTGCTTTCTCCTTGCCCTCTCCAATACCTATCAGTTTGGAATGACTTTCATGATTAACTGTGAACCTTTCCCTCTGACTTTTGCAGTTCTGTGAAACAGTGAAGATGATTATTCGGGACCAGAGAAGTGTTCTTGCTTCAGCGCTCCTGGGATTAGCATCTATAGTCTGTCTGGGTTTGGCACCTTCCACCACCCTGCCCACTATCATTATTCCATTCTTTCTGTGGATGGCTGGTTAACAGCAGCAGCAGCGCCTGTCAGTGCCTGTACATAGAATGTATAATATTGTATTTATAAAAGCACACATTACTTATCAACAGTTGTGTAAAGAGAAAAAATGTGACCTGTAACTTGTGTAGTATTTTAATCACATCTTTATCCAGAACACAATGTACAAGGAGTAGCTTACTGTGTAAGCCAAATAACCAGATTTCCTGAAAATCTCACAGAAGGTAAATTTTAACACACCTTCCAAGCCATGAAAGAGTGTGTGTGTGTGTGTGTGTGTGGGGGGGGTGATATAGTCCTGCTCCCTGCTTTCAGTCATAAGTTAATCTAGTGAATGTATTTTATCCGGTATTTTTCTCTCTTAACTCTGTGTATCCAAGTGCCATATAAAATAGTGAAGATTAGAGTTTCATCCTGAAAGTGGATGATAGAGGCCATCTAAGTACCTAGGTAGAAATGATGGAAGATGAAAACAAGCTAATTTCACTTCCATATATATGTATTTTTCATTCAAGGAAGTTATTATTTCTAAATCCACTTGTATTAAGCCTAGAAATATCTTTTAATGGGGAATAAAAGCAGCCTCAGGATTGTATTCTGCGTTGGTAAAAACTCCTAGTTAAATATTGTTTCCTGTACTACTGTGTGGCCAGATCGGTACTGCCCATTCAGTTCCTTTCTGAGAGGTGTTCACAAATCATATATCCATTTTAATTGCACAAACACTTTATACCATCCTGAACAGTTTTTTGCCTGGGTTTGGTTGCAAGGAAAGCCTGCAGTTCCTCAGAATTTTCCTTGCTAATAAGTGTCAGTGCAGCCAATATAATTCAATACAGGGGGTTTCAGAAGATATGGAACAAAGCAATTTGGTTGGTGAAAACTAGTAACATGCAAACCAATAAGAATTTTCCTATGTTCCAGGGGAGAAGGAAAGAGGCCTTTTTTCTCTTTTCTCTTCCCTCAGTAATGGGACCAGTGTGGGTGCCATAAAGTATCATGAGACTCTGTGGCAGATATTACAATCAAGCTACTGTAATTTAACAACTAAACATACCACATACCCCTTAAAAATTATATGTCTTTCATATACTGAATGTGTGAATATTTACCTACAAGCCAGCAACTTTTTGAAGAGCATGTGATATATGGTTCAAGGGCTTTTTGGAAAATATTACTATTCTTAACTCAGGCTGATACTTCTTTAATCTCAGACCTCTAAGGATTCTTTCCTTCAAAATCCAAACCTATCTATTCACTCATTTTGAGTGACTATTCTATTTTTATTATTATTTATCTACAATGTTTATTGCTGTTTGTAAACATGCCTTTTCTGTGTACTTAGGCATTTAAGCATTATTCTGCCTCTCCTTTTAAATCTAAAGCATGCATAATCTCCAAACCTTGGCTCTCTTCACAGTGAAAGCTCAATATACGACAGTCAATTAAGGACAATATTAAATAACAAAAAATGCCTCCTTTACTACCATTTCTACAATAAGATTTGCTTTATCTTTATTTAAGAAACAAAAAAACCCCAACTGTTTGAAGTGTGGTATCTTGAATTAAGTGTCTGTTCTGTTGCTAATAGCAATGTCTCGTTTTGGCTACTCAGCTACAACTGACTGAAAATGTAAAGACCAAAGATGAAATCCTAATCTTATTGAAGTCAATTTCAAAACTCTCACTTATTTCAATTGAGATAGGATTTCACCCCAGAATTCAATACTAATACAGAATTGTATTTAAAATAAATTATATGTTCAGCTTGCAGTCATGCTCCAAAGCACCTTGATTTAAACTACCACTAAATTGTTATAAACAACTTACATTCTTTTTAAGAGAGTCCTAAGGTGCCAACCTACAGCAAATTTTTAAATTAATGTGAAATGCTATTCCATCAAGTATGTATCATAACTTCTAAACAAATTCTATTGTATATTTTATTTACTGTACATAAGGTCAGCACTGCATAATTATATAAATATAATTCATTTGTATATGTTTACTTGTGTTCTGAAATCGATGAGCATAATGGAATAGCACTTCCCTAACAATGTTTATCCCAATAGGATACTGAGCAATCCATTGAGACATATATGGTATCTAATTACATTATATGTCCGTTCCTCCCTTTTACTTGGGATTTGTAAGAATTCCGGTAATTCTCATGAGTCAGTTACAGAATAAACAATGGGTCCATGACCAATAAGCTAATCATTGTTAGGCTTGTTATGAGGTGAGTGTACTCACAGTAGCTGTAATATCAAAGGACTGATGTTGCCTCTTCGCTAATGGGGATGGGACAACCAGGGATATTTGGGGCAAGAAGACAGGACAGGCAAGATGTGATTTGTCTGAAAACTTTATTAAATGATACAAGGCACCTGGAACAGACACTGGGTTATTGTTCAGTCAGATCTAGTAAGTGAAAATTGCTCAATAAAGTATCTTTAAGGAATACTTAAGACATGCTTAGACTAAGCCTTTTAAACCTGTGATACACTTGCTGTATTTTTTTGTCAGAGCTGATTCACAGGAGGACTTCAGTTATGCACTTAGGAGTTTTCATACAGTCCCCAATTCAGCAAAGTCCTATTAAATTAAGAATATGCTAATTTGCTTTGCTAAATTGGGGCCATAGACTGAGCAGATCTAACACCGGTGTGAATTCTCTTGTTCATCCCCTTGGATTGTTTGCTCTGAAGTCTCAAACTTTAAATTTCAACACCAACTATTTTTCTAATGACTATTTTTGCTAATATAATAATCTATTTAGGGATTATGAATAGAGTTTGCCTTTCAGGCCTAGGCTCAAATATGAATTTTAAAGGACAAAACACAGGGCAGTATCGTCATTGAGATTTTGCATGTGTTGTAAGTGCAGGATTGGCACAATATATTGGTAACTATGAACGGTGGAGGATGGAGTAGATAGGGAGTGGAAATACAGAAGTTGCATTTCATTTTAGTTGGTCCTTTGTATGATTGCTTTTGAGGGTGGTGGATCTTCTTTAAGAATGTTAATGTGCAATGCGGGGACCGAAAAGGACATGAGTCTTGTGTTGCTGGGACCTGTTAGTAGTAAAGACGTCAGGTTAAAAGGACACATTTCATTATTACCTTACAAAGGTAAACAAAACAAAACAAAAAGATATAAGGGGACAATGCCAGGGTAGAAAAATATTTAAAAAAACCTTAGATTATTAAAATTCAAGTTCTAATGTTTTAATCACTTGATGCTATATTTACTTTTGTATTTTAGCTTGATGAATGAAAATAGTCAGTTTCAATTTGTGTACAGTTAGTTTCTTTCAAGTCCTTATGCACTAGCACTCTGTTACAATGTGTAGGTTGTAAAACTGCTTGGGAAAGTGTGTGTGTAAGTAAGATACCATTGAGATTTAAAGGGGAAAAAATCATGGCAAGATTTGTCAGTATTAGGTTTTGGGGAAAAAAATGAAACTACATTTTTGGCGACATATGACCTGACAGCATCTCCTGCGGGATTCAGAAAGAAAGCTATAGAAGCAAGACATATTCTCTGTTATGGCAACCGTAGGTCTGTTTTGTCCATATTGTGTGTGTATGTGTTATGTAATTAAATCAAAGGGTCTCACAACACTGTATGATGATATAGTGTTGTCTGAGAATGCTTCCTATGTTAGGAAATCAGTGGTTAGTATGCTCTGACTTTATATTTGAATATTAAATGGAAGTGACCAGATAACAAATGGCTCCTGGAGGTGCAAACTGCTCAAGCTCTGTAATACGTTAGGCCCCAATCCTACAAACACAAACATATGCTTAAATTTACTACCTGAGTAGTCGCATTGATTTCAAGTAAGTGTGTGTTTGCAGGAAAGAGGTCTTACATTGTAATACTGTGATTCATTCAGCAAGGGTGTATGTGATGTACCTATTTTTGCAGTGATCTTGCATGACCTTATGCTGTTGAAATAAACTGCCAACTCAAATCTTATTATTAAAATAAAAAAGTTTACATTGTTTAAACATCTGGGGTCAGATTCTCAATTAGTGTAACTTGGCAAAGCTCTATTGACTTCAGTACCAAATTATGCCAGTTTACATCAGCTGGAAATCTGGTGAGCTTGTGTTTTGAAAATGTCATAGTTTGACCACAATTCAAATGAGGTTTAAGTTGAACTTTTTATATTAAATAATTAACATATTACTATCAGTCACTTTATAGTCAAATTTAAACCTGTAGTTGCTATCTTACTTCACCAATATCAATGTAAGATTAGTGTATTATTTGCATAGGGACTTCCTGATTGGACCTACTATATTCATCACTTTATACCAGAATCCATTCTGCAGAGAATGAGGTTCTGTATCCTTTTTGCCTGTTGTTGCTAAGGCTATTGGTAAGAAATGTGGGCTAACTCCTGTTCCTGATGCTTAGTAAGGGGCAGAGAGAGAGAGAGGTTAGAGCATAGAGACAGGGAACATGGGCACTATTTCTGTCTCTTGCTATGTGATCTTGGACAAGTCATTTATCATCTGTGCCTCATTTTTCCCTACCCATAGAACTAAGATAATACATACCCTTCCTTACAGAGGTGTTGTGAGGCTTGGTTAGTTAATATGTGTATAGTGTTTTTAGATCCTTGGATGACATATGCTATGTAAGTACTATTAATATTAATCTCTACCAAAAGCAAAATGTTCATGTTAGCAGGGGTGCTGGAACAATTTGTACAGTGGGGGTGCTGAGAGCCATTGAACCCAATGGTAAACCCTGCATATGATGGAAACGCCTTCAAGCCAGGGGTGATGCAGCACACCCCTCCTCCCTGCACCCTTAGTTCCAGACCCTCTGCCTGTTAGTGGCATCACAATTACTCTCTCTGGAAATCACTGTGATGCCATAGGCTATGTCTACAGTATGAGCTCAGGCCAGCAGACAGAGACTTAGCTCAAGTATAAATAGTAGTGTAGCCATGGTCAGTACTTTGTGGGTAATTACTCAGCATGGTGGAGACATGTCACTGCTGCCCATACGACCGTGGCTACACTGCTATTTATTCTCATGTGAGCATGTGTACACGAGCTGGTAATCATACCCCTACCTCACAGTGTAGACATAGGCATAGAAGAATAGAACCTTAAGTGTGGAATAAGCAGCAGGAACAGATGAATGTTTATGTCCCGCTTTTCAAATAAACTTTTTACTAATAGTAGAAAACAGGATGACAAATATAGGTAATAGAATAATCATAGTGGGAGGGGGAAGGAGGATCAAAGCTCAAATGCAGCTTGCTTCTCCATTGTATCTCAATCTAAATTTTTACCTGCTTAATCATAACCACCTATTCTCCCATTAAATACTCACAGTGGCTCAGTGTATTAGTAAACATCTAATGTTAACCCCTTCAGCGTTGATGATGGTTACAACCACTTTTGGTTTGGATGCTAAAACAATTCTTATCTCTCACCTCCCCTAATGCTCACCTGTACTTCACGTGAGGTTCCAAAATCTTTGAAATAATACTATAAATTAATATATATAAATATATAAATACAAAATATTCAGTAAAGTTTCATATAATTGGGCCATTATGAAGCTGCAAACTTCATACATTTCTGGCCACAACACCACAAACGTTATAGGCCCAAATTTTTCAAGGTATTTAGGTATTGCTGCACTCGGTGTTGCAATGCCTAACTGATTTAGGAGCCTCATTTTCAAAAGAATTTGGGCACTTAGAAGTCTAAATCCCATCTACTGTCTATCGGACTTAGACTAAGTGCCTAAATCCCATTTGAAAATGAGATGTAGCCTCCTAAATAGGTTAGAAATTGCAATCCCAAGCACAGCACCACCTAAATACCTTTAAAAATCAAGGCTATAGTGCTAAAATCAATACATAAAGGTCTTCCAGATGTAGAGAAGTAGTATATATTCACCCAAGTACTAAAAACCAAAGTGACCCAAATTTGTGTTTCATACATGTAATAAACTTTGTTTTAAACCTATATATGATAGATAGTGGACACAGTGTTCAGAGCCAGAGCACAACGAAATAACATATTTTCTAAAATTGCCAAAATGGGGATTGAAGGATCTACAATTTATCTTCTGCAGTACATGAATGCTCTTTAATCTATAATTCTTCATGAATCTAATCACTGTAAAAGGACCCATTCTTCTACAGTGCATTCCTATGCAACTCTGACACATAATGTGCGTAACACAAACAGCTCTGTATAATCACATTTTTATGAGAGAACAAATGTCTACAGCACTTCAAATGCTCACATTGACTTTTGCTATTCTGAGTGTTGGAGTCTTTGCTGGATTCCGCCACATCCCAATTTTAACTCTGAAAGAAGTAACTCATCGTGGAGATACTCTGGCAATTGTAGATACTCTCTAAAGATTCTCTAAATCATTAATTCAGAGCTGCATAACTATTTCCCTTTGGAGGCAATAAAGCTTAATTAATGGGGGCAGGAATCATCCACCTTCTTGGAGTTATGCTCCACAGATACGGAAGGAGAAAGCTATCAACATAAATTCACATTTTCCATTTTTTGAGGTACTTCTAACAGCACAATCAAGTATCTGGTCTCACATCTTTTAATATTAATGGGTTGTTCACAACACTTCTAACTGACTAAAGGTCTCATAATTAAGGTAACTGAGAAGTTGCATGATGTCATTGTAGTCAGAGCTTGGAACAGAACACCCAGGTCTCTAGTTATGTTCAGGGCCAGCTCCAGCCTTTTTGCCGCCCCAAGCAGCAAGGAAAAAAAAGAAAGAAAGAAAACGATTGAGCTACTGCCGAAATGCCGCCGAGGAAGGCAGGGAGTGAAGGATCCGCTGCCGAATTGCCGCAGAAGACTGAAGTGGGCCGATTGAGCTGCCGCTGAAGTGCCGCCATCGCCGACCCGGACGTGCCGTCCCAACATGCCGCCCCTTTCGATTGGCCGCCCGAGGCACCTGCTTCCTTCGCTGGTGCCTGGAGCCGGCCCTGGTTATGTTTACACTGCAGCTGGGAGCAAGTCTTCCAGGCAAGGCAAACAGACTTATGCAAGTGGGGCTCAAACTAGTGCAGTAAAAATAGCAGCAGTATGGATGTTGCAGCTGGGACTGCAGATCAGACTCTGAAGCCCACCCAACCCCCTAGGCTTGAGAACTTGAGCTGTAGCCCAAGCCACAGGATCCACACTGTTATTTTTGTGCTAGGCTAGCCTGAGTCTATCTACCTGGACTGGGAGGTTTGCTCCCAGCTGCAGTGTAGACATGCCCTAATTGGACAGAACCAAGATGCAGCCACTCAGCCACATTGGCTTTCATAATGTGTACCAAATCTATCAGTGTGGTTAGTCTATCTGCAACTACTATTCTAACCACTGTAGACCATTCTGCTCATAAAGCCAGGAATGACTGATGCCCAGCATCTTAGTGTTGTCTCAAAACAGTTTTGTAAGCCATTGGCAAAAGTGTGTCATGCCTTTGCTCTCAGGGCTGCTCCACATAGAAAATAACAGCCTATACCTGCTACTATTTGTGCCTTTATCTCAAATGAAAGACGTACAGCTATAGTCTGGATCGAAAGGTTATAAGGCCTGACCCAGTTGTATTAATACAGGGAAAATCTGATTGTCTAATTAAAGATTGTTTCCTAGTGTATAATCACATGGAGGCAGAATTAAAGTTGCATAGACAACCTTAATTCTGGCAATTCCTAATTTTTGAATGCTTGGTTTTGCAGACAATGTTCTTTTAATACACTTTTTAATGTTATATAATATAGGATCCCTCTTTAGTTTTAGAATCCAGAAATAATGTACTTGTTGAAATGATTTTATTTAGATGTGGATTTGGATGTTATGTTAATTTTTTATTATTGTATTTTTATTGTTTGTATTTTGGCTAGTGGGAGCTGACTCTAAGTACAGTGTGAGGTATGTTTTCAGGATACTGAAAGTTTTTCATGTGTGTCTTCAGAGTGGAAGACCTTGCTTGAGTAAGCTCCATAAAGGTCAGAACTTGATTTAATAAACATTTCTTTCAAGAAAGCAAGCCTTGTTCTTGAAGGTATGAAATTAGCACTTATTGGTACTTCAGAGCAATGCTAAAAGCTATAGAGCCTTTCACTTTTACATCACTAGTTTGAATCCAGCCCATGTGAGAAGGGATCAAAAGATGTTCTCGTCTACTGGATATTTGGTGCTTTATCATAAGAGATGTGTAGGGTGGGTCTTAGTTTGAGCTCCCACATTACAAACGCAACATCATACTTTGCAATAATTGGCAGACTCTGCAAAGGGGCCAAGGACTGCATGAGTCATGGAGACTGAACTAACCCTGTTTACCCATGGAGACTGACCTACCTCTAGAGGAAGTCCTTCCTCTATCCCCCTGATAAAAGGTGAGGCATGCTGACAGGGCACTGTGTGATAAATGGAGGATTTAATTCAGCAGAACTCTCAACTCAACTCCTTCCACCACTGATGGTCAAATAGGCCAACTCTTTTATCCAGTACTAAATTCATACAATTTTTTACACTGAAGTTTGTGCTTATATGCAAATTATTTTCAATATGAAAAATTCTCATTACATAATTTGCATAAAATATTACAGAAGAAACTGCACAAAATGTCAAAGCAGAGACAAATATTTAATTGCTCTTTCTAATTCCTTGCTTGGAAAGTTGTGCTTCAGCTCCACCTCCTGGCTTTGTGGTCCCTTTAGTAGCCACCCTCTGCAGAGTCCTAAACAGGTGCTCCAGAGGATTTGCACAACCCAAAGAGTGGTTTGTAGACAAAACTAAAACAGCTGGGATATGTGGAAGCAGGGGACACCCAATCATCTGAGCTAGGACTCCATGAGCTATTTCCAATACAGGACTTAGGGCCAGCCCTGTTTTGCCATGAACCATAGAACTACTAGCCCAGGTCACATAGGCAAGTTTCCCTACTACAATCTGATGTTCTGCTGCTACTGTAACAGATTGGTTATGCAGTACTGCGGGGAATATAC